AGAGGACCTGGAGGGAAGGAGAGAGGGAGACAAAGAGGCTGAAAATTCCATTACTTCTGACGCCACTCTATCTACCCACACACCTGCCGTGGAGGAGGTATGTATCAGGGGAACTCCTTCAATCTTAACACTAATGAGACAGGAGAAACTGTCGTATTAGTGAGGTGTCCTGATATGCATGCAGGAAAACTGCTCTTAGGGAAAGAAAAGGTGTCCTTATTAGAGAGGAGTCCTCATTTCAGTGGTGTCCTTAGAGAAGGTGATTCCCTCTCCTTCCCTCCAGACTCTGAGAGCGATGGACAGACTGTCAGTGGAGGAGACCAGGGATCTCCTGGTCTCAGTTCTCTTTGTCCTCAAGCACATCGAGAGCTCCGTGCTGCTCCACTGGTGGAGCGACCTCATTGGCTCTGGAGGAGGGTCCAGAGCTTCCGGCAAGTTGAGCGACTTTGAAGATCCGTCCACATCTCGTCTCTCGCAGTTCTTTGACTTTTTCAACGCTCTAGAGTGAGTGGGTGTGGCCTTAGTGGGTGTGGTCTTTTAATCAGTGGAGGGTTAGCATTTTCTTAGTATATGGAGAATTGTGTGTCATGTGTGTTTGTACTTTTAGCTAGAAGGTTGGAGAAAGCAGAGTGCTTTAAAATTTGGCTAACTGTCAGTTTGTTTCCTGTAATGCAGAACATGTCTGTATTCCTTCAAGTACTGTGGGAGGACTGCAGTCAGCAAGAAACTGTGGGTCACTTTGAATGCAGTAGATTAATAGTCTACATCTCTCTCTGCAGAGCCTTGTCATATCGCGAGTCGACTCTGTCCCGCTCTCCCTCAGCCTCTCCGTCTGTCTCCACACCTCCTCAGAAAGAGAAACTAGGGAAGAAGACGTCTGTGTCCAGCGTGGCAGGGAAGACAGCCAAACGCCCTCCCAACTCCCCAGCACCCAGTCAGTGACTCCTTCTTCCTCAGTCATCACTCAGTATTTTAACCCTTTCCTCTCTCCCCCAGCGCCGGCCACATTCACCATCCCTCGCTCCCCCACTGCCGAGGAGCTGACTGCCGAGGAGCTGGCTCTACACGTGAAACTGGAGGGAGCTCTGTCTATGGACTCATCATCCTGGGTGTCCCGGACACCTTCATGGAGGGGATGACCAGCGAGCTGTCGCAGGCTATGGGTGACAACTACTTCATGGCAAAGGTTTGAACTGCTTCGCTCGCGGAGAGAGAAGTGATACCAAGTTTATATACTGTACTTGTGGTGTTGGTCACTAGGTAGTCATGTTTGCTTTGCCTGCTGATTCCTTTCTCTTCTAGTTTTTCACGCTGCTCATCACGATGCTCCACGTCAGTACATCTGCCACTCTCCAGTCCCACATTTTCAACTTCCTCCGAGTCTTCATCCACAACGTGAGGGAGAAAGAGAAACACAAACTGATCTGATATTATTGAGACTGTGTTGTCCTTCTCTTCAGTTCAGAGAGAGCACTCTACTGGGGGAGAGTGATACCAACCTCCGTCGATCCCTCACCACCATCGCCAACTTTGTCAAAGACGACTCCAAGATTAAGAGAGTGAGCTTCCCACTGATCATCGTAGAACTCTGCATGCACACTAGAGCATGGCACCCTCTTCCTCCCCATTAAAATATACTAACTCCTTTTCAGAGCAAGGGCGGCTAGCCTAAGATAGCAAGCCCACCTAGACAAATGGACTGTGTGTACGACATTGTATGGTCCTGTCAATCCTTTACTGGAAAATGTCTAAAAGTGAAATTATACACTTGTTTTTGTGGTTGCATTCGTTCTAATACTGTAACCTGACAAGGCTTGCTATGTTAGTAGCTTATGCCCCCCTCTTCTGCTTTTTCTTTCTCCCCCCTCCCCCCTCTCTCCCCCTCTCTCCCCAGCCATTCGGAGACGACCACGAGAAGCAGTACATCTACAAGGAGCCAGCAGTCACCACTCTGGCCGAGATTGTTCTCAGACTCCATTCCTCTCCCAATAGGTTGACATAGAGTCGTTGGCCTCCAACCACGCCAACATACTTCACGGATGACATGTTGCAGGAGAGAACGTCGCGGTTTGAGAGGACCAACAATCTCAGTCGGTTTGTGTTTGAGGCTCCGTTCACGAGAGGGGGCAAAGACGGTCCTCACCAGTGAGTAGAGTGGGCATATACAGTGGAACCTCTCTAACCAGCAGAGGGACTGAAGAAAGTACTTAGTGTCAGCAACTCAGTGTATGGTTGTCAACATTCCTCGGTCGCCAGTTATGATTCACTGTTTTATGTTCCCCCAGCTTCCCACTGGTTCCCCAATCTTTTGGTGGAGTTGTTGGTGGGGGAAATGAGCCTGTACCTAGTCATCTCAATTGTGCAATTATTGTGTGTCACGGACTGAATATCTACTGAAAGTTCTTCTTCCTGATCTCGTCTCTCCCGTTGGTGGCCAGGTGAACCAAGGAGTGCAGGAATACGCAGTGTTTCTCTCTCAGCAACACTCTTCAGAACTGTCGTCTGCTCAGCCAGCTCAAGACCGTCTACCGGTGAGACGAGAGAGAAAGAGGAAAAAGATGCTCACCACTCTCAACCCACTCATAGCTGATGACTCTGACAATGATGACAGGGTCAGTCCCATATCCCCACCAACACTTTGTCTTGTCCTATATAGGGGAAAGGGGGTCTGGTAACCAGGATCAATCTCCAATCAATACACATCCATAGGAAGTGTGTGATATAGTTATACATCAGTTTTTAAACACAGTATAAACAGATATGTACAGATATGCACACCAGGTTTTGTGGTGGAGTCTCCGTTCCCATCTTTCCTTCCACTGCAGGTGGCCCATGGCAGTGATACATATCCGAGAGCAGCTCGAAGGTCTCAGGTTGGACTGGACCCTCACAGAATGTCCATTCTCTTCAGCTCCATCAGTGGAGGAACTTGACACATGACCATTATTACACACACACTTCTTCCCAGCTGTTATTCTTGTGTACAAAACTCAAAATGTGCAATTTATGATTAATTATTGATCAGTGGGACTCAGTAAACATGACCAACTGAGTTTTCAATCTTCAAACTGGCAACTTCTCGATCTCCTGGCCAGAGTGCCACAGAGCCTCGTCTGTACTGACTGTGCCCCTAATGGTACTGGGATGTATAATTTTCACTGGACCAACTACATATCTCTCTATATGACGTGCCAGCTCGCATGTGCACATAAAAGAGTGAATAAGAAAATGAGTCATCCCATCAAAGAACACCACAAAAAACAACTTTAAAAAACCAACAACTAAAAAATCACCTCTCAAATAATAATATAGACAATACATTTTTAATCAATCTAATAGTAATTTGTGTGCCTCTTCCATTAAAACCCTTACACGATATAGATATTTTCCGAGATTAGCATATTATTCTTTTTACATTGTTTCAAGTACTCCTCAGATATCGCCAGAACCTCTTCTCACTTACATTCATTATGTATTCCATTGTGTCCACAGTGTGTACAATGTCACAGAGTGTTAACGATATAAAAAAATTTGCTAAACTGAGTTTTAGCTTCCTGTATTTTTTTTATTCTTTGTGCAATTCCTGTGTGTGAAATCGATTATAAAGTTTACAATTCATTACTTTCATGTCTGCATTTAGCTCCATCACTTCCTGGTTGTTGTGTAAACAGTTTAATACGACACTGCTTCAGTTGGGCAACTTACAAACTTACCTTAAGCATTCTGGAGTAATCTTCCATCACCTCCATCATTGTGTTCTCCTTTTTCAGGGTTTTCCACCTTCTTTCGTATAATCACATCACTGTAATGAATAAGTAAACTTGAGCCACCCTCTCTTTTTCCTCAAATTTTGATTGATCATGATCTCTCATTAGCGATTCAAATTTGTGTTCATTTTGAGAAATCTATTCTTTTTCGGCTTTTGAAGATCGAAAACTTGCTGTTTCAGTTCCTGCGATAAAATAAAAAAGGGAAGGATTGTCAATTATCATCTGTACACACATCACAATACAAGATTCAAGACCCACTCACATGATTTTGCATAATGTATGTACCTTCATTTGTGATGTGGCATTTTCAGTCTCTTCATGAGTTCAGCCACTTCGGTGGGGAAGGCCGAACCCTGGGACACAGAGAGCTTTGTGGGTGAACTGCAACCTGCGCTCAGTGCTGGAGAAGAGCGCCCTCACCTACTACCAGGTCGTCGACGTGGCAGAGGGAGTCTCAAAGGCTCTTCAGTACCTGCACTCGGTGAAGCCTCACCCTGTGGTCCACGGAGAGCTGACCAGCACCGGTGTTCTACTGGAGGCCGACCGCGGCCCTCGCATGAAGGCTAAACTCTGCGACTACATGACGGCAAAGTATTTCCACCACCTCCTGACCTCTGTTGTGGCCCCAGCCACCAGCATGGAGGATGTGTTTGCCCACAGCAGAGAGCACCCTTCGCAGGAGTACAAGTCTCGTGTCGTCCGTCGCTCAAGCTCTCGTTCGAGATCAGGTTCCCCACTGGACGCAGCTGACAGACCGATGAGAATCAGCCAGTTCAGAAAAACAAGCACAGTGTCTGGAATAAGTCCATTGGACGCCGGCACATTCTCCACACAACGCGACGTCTACCTGTTTGGGATTCTCGTGGTCGAGATGGCAACTCGCACGGCAGTCCTGGAGGTTTCTCTGCAGTATCTCATTGAGAGCATTGCGTGGGGCCAGGTGGCTGGGCTGGTGAAGAAATGTCTGACTCACGACGTCGACGCACGGCCCGACATGACCGAAGTCGTTTCTCACGTCATGCAGCTAGCATCCTCCAAACCATGACACTCACCTCACCAAAACACTGCTTTTGTTTAGTGCTTCAAAAAAAGAGATTTTTTCCCTTATGACAATATAAAAATACCTGCAACCTTGCCATCTGAAAATTATAGTAAACTAATCCGGACACTTAGTGAATCAAAATCCGCTGCTGATCATGCGCATTAACTTCGGTACGGGCCGATTCCCATGTGATGGAACGGGGATTGAAGCTGAATGAGGTCATTCCTTTTTGCGCATGCGCCCAAGAAGAGGGCAGAGCTGAGGCTGAGCCTTTGTGGGTGAAGTTAGAAAACAGGTGTTCAGTAGTAGTCTTGTGAAAGACAATCATCCACTGTTAGGCCCCAGCCCTTGCTTTCATAGTAAGGGTCACTGCGTGTTTTCCTGTTTCAACCCATAACATGTAGAAGCCAGTACAAGGCAACGTGACTCTGCAGAGAGACATCTGTGCCTTTACTTTTCCATTGTAGCTATACATACGTCTCTGTCCTGCAACGGTTGAAGCGGATAGCCACCTTGGCTGCCTGATTGAGCTGGAGACAGACATCTGTGTACCTTGCCTGCCAGTTTACCTAGTAGCCTGGTGTTTATAGAGACAATTTCTCAATGTGTTCCAGCTCCTAGATAATTCCCACAAGCATATATCCATACGGTTTGAACAATAACGTCAAGGGTTTAGGTAATATATCAAAGCTTATAGATCAGGATAGTTTGGTCGTATATAGTCTCTTCCCTAAGCATGACAGAAGGTTTAGAAATAGGAACAGCAGAAGGAGTAAGAATATGGCGTATAACGAATTGATTGACATCTCTCCAAATTGTTGCCTTCGTATAGGCGTCGATACATGCTAGGATTGCCTCGTAGGAAACTCGGTGAAGCGACTAAGGCATTAGATGGCTATCTACTGCGTGGTGAGATACCCGGACATATAGGAGTTTTTATCAGGGACCTAGTACGGTTTAAAAGGTTCATTAAAATCCTCTATCATAGTAAAGGTATCGATATGGTCAATCTGCCTTCTTTGTTGCACAACAAGAACATTACCTCTACAATTCCCTTATGCATTGATAATACCCCACCTACGGTTAGCTACCAGTATGCTAGTACGATTGCCTGTAAAGTGTTTAACCATAAGACGGTGGTCTCGGAGATAGACTTTACTGTTGGTTCCAAGGAAATGTCTTGTGACTGCAGTAATTCTCCTTATGTATAATTATGGTCCAACTGGGCACGTGATAACTGGTAATCTACGTATTCTGGACGATAGACAACTTCGTCAGCTTTTGATAAACGGGCCTTCGTACAGGGAGCAGAATAATATTAATTGGAATAAAATAAAATCAATACTCTTGGATTCGATACGAGCGTATAAGGTGCAGTGGGCCAAGAGAGAGCATTTTGATGTCCGAATATTGAATGAGTGGCATAGCAAGATCAATGAATGTATTATAAATAGGATAAATGTTTTATCCTATTTATAATACATTCATTGAAGAAGCCCATACATAGAAAGCTGCTGGTACTGAAGAATCGCGCTCATTTGGAATATTTTGAACAATTCCACCAGAAATATGTTCTAGTCCCCGCACACAAGGCGAGTAGTAATATTATTGTGGTTTCTAAGAAATTTTATGTTGATGTAATATTTTTTCCTCTCTCTAGCATATGCCAGTGCACTCAGCAACCTTCTTGCATCTCTGAAATTGTGACTTTGTGCATGTGTATATCAAAAGTAAAATCACAATCGTCAATTGTTCTAATTTAGCGAAAGAGCAGTTAACATTCGCGTGGGCACCGATATGGGCTCTGACCTATACACGTGTATGACCTATGTACACGTGCATGGAACATTCGAGAACTTATGTAGAGCATAATATAAGAATTATGTTACTTACATTTGGGGACCACGACGTCATCCGGACACGCAACGATGGCCTCGACGACAGAGCTAGAGACGCAGGAACTGTCACAGCTGCAGTTCAACTCAAGCTCCCGCCCTTCTGGCCTGCTGATCCAGACGTCTGGTTTGCCCAGATTGAGGCGCAGTTCAGCATAACTGCGTAGAGGACGAAATATGACTACGTGGTCGCTTCACTATCACCCGAAAGTGCGCGACAACCCATACGACAGCAACTCATTCTGCGAACCTGCCTCCCCGAGCAACGCAGACTCCAGCAGCTTCTCCACTCCTTGGCCTACAACCAAGTCGCCTATTTTACATTACAGACCGAGACACAGGCCTACGTTTCCTCATCGATACGGGTGCTGAAGTGAGTGTTGTGTATGTAAATTTCATTGTCTCTATAATGAGGTGTATACGCTATTATTGTTGTGCCTTTGAAAATGCAAAAATTAGTAAAATTGACACAAACACTACTTTGTGCGAGGTGCAAGTGTGTAAATATACCATCAGGACCAATATATATATCACAACTAGTAAGAATAGGGTGGACTTGTAGTACGTACAAGGAATTTGTAAAGTGCAACATGTTCGTTACTTCTCGACTAATCAAACAAGGGTTTCTCTATGTTGAATTAGTCAGGAGTTTCAAGAAATTTTATATTAAATATGTTAATCTCATGAGCAAATGTAACGTCTGTATGAAGAGACATGTGTCTGATGGCATCTGTGGTTTGTATGATGGGTTGCCTTCAGTTTACAATCTTGTGACAACTCAACGACATCGTTTATGAACTCTTATGTACCGATTTACATCGCCCCTTATCGTGGTTATTTCCTGTCAAGTCCTCTTTATAAGACACTCGTGTCATTTTGTGCCGAAGCTGAATCAATAGGTATGTTGCAGAGTTGTATGATTGTATTGCTGTGGGCAGTTTCACCGTGAGAAAGGCGTGGGTGAGTTCACCGGTGGTTAAAGACCCACCACCCCTGGTTCTCAAGGCCAGGGCACCCACTATGCCTTGCCTTGCTAGCTGGCTCTCTGGTGTTGCTGCCCTACATTTTTCCTTTTATACGTGAGTGCTGCTGATCTGTCTGTAGATGCTATTTTTGATACTTTGATATTTCAATTTTTGGTTTCGTATCGTTGTAAAGCTTGAAATGTGCTTGATACAGCGCTCGATCTTTATCACTTTTTCCATCATATCTGTTCCGTAGATGACTTTGTGGGCCAATCTAATGGCCATTAGTGTGTACTTTCCCTTCTTAATCGCTGCTAGCCTCACGAATAAGACTGCACACATGCTCAATATTACTTTTAGTAGGAGATCGTGGTCGCGGGTTTCCTAGGCATCGCACTCTACTCAGGTAGTCTTGTACCCCAACACTTCAGTTCCCCGCACAGCGTGGTTCGATGCTTTGCAGCTGCCTTCCATTTCTGATGAAACACTCCAATATCACAAACATCGACTGTGAACCTGGTATCGTCTTCTCAGGTACCTCGACAAACAGCTAAAACTCTGATCAATATCTTTACGAATATGACCCACCATTAAATAACCTAAGAGGCTCTGTAAATAAGAAGAAAGAGAACTGCAGGGAACACGACAGGTGCCTGCACTAGTGTGTTCACCGTATTTGGATGTTGAGGGTGTTGGTATATTATAGCTATTGTCTGAACTCTGTAGTGGAAATGTTTAGTTCATTAATGTTTGGGCCAAATTAACATGAAACATGGTATCAGGTGAAGCAATGGTCACCTACCCAGTGTTCTGAAGTACAAAGAGATGTTCCTTGGGTCCAACAGCAGCCCTACAACCGGATGTTGCCTCTGAAACGATCGGAGTGCAGCCAGTAGCTGAAAGTTATCTTCCCCCTCGACCTCCTTCTTCACCTCTCCCACCAATAGAACCCTTCCATCGATCTGTTCCACGAGGACGTCCACAACCCCATGAACTGACGGGTCACTCGGACTTTTGGGGTAGACCCCACAGGCAAACACAACTGAAGATACGAAAGTGAATAGGTCACTTCTTGCTGTCTCTCGTTTTATAGGCGGCTTCAACAGTGGTAACTCAAAGTAGTCTTTGTGTTTTGCTATTGGTGGAAGGGACCGTGTGAACAATGATCGATCCCGGCTCATCAAAGAAAGAAGCGTATAGCGGCTAACAGGGTGTAGTGGCTGTTTATACACTTTTTGTAGTTGACGATTGACAATTACAAGATTCCCCGGATTCAACCACACCAGTCCTATACACTTTTTTCTGCCTGTGTGTGTTGGGAGTGGTTCCTTTCCATGCCGGGCAGCGTGCCCATGTCCTCCTGGCCCTAATTTCAACATCTTGCCTAAAAATATTTGTTGAAAAAATGTGGGCCCACTGCTTACTCGTTCTTTTTAAAGTTTTTTTTTACAAAATAATGTCTACTGCAATGTTTGTGGTATTTTATGACCAGAGTACATGGTCCTTTTTGGTATCGATAGCACCTCTTCTCCCTTCATTTTTAGAAGCGTCAATCCTTGTGGCACCGATGCATAACAATGTTCATCTTGCACCGCTGCCCCGCTGGGTCCCGGTGTTGCTGCTTCCGGAGAGGGAGAGGAGGGACAGGGAGATCTGGGGTGGTGTGGACGGAGATGAGGAGAAGGAGGGGAGGGAGGACTGGGATGGTGGTGGGACAGCTGAAGGAGGAAATAATATTAAAAACCCACAGTCTCTCTCAGTGCAACGCAACAGCCCGCTCACCAATAATTTTGTTAGTTGCTCACTCTTGCTTGGTAAAGTTGGTGTTTCAATCTCTTGATGTCCTCTTCCACTTGCCTGAGAGAGAGAGGTCACAGTATAATGAAAATCACTGAAGTGCAAACCCTCGGCGCACTGTGATGCGCACGCGTAAGTAAACGCATGTGCCGTACCACTAATTGGTCCGGGTTGTATTCTCGCCATATGCGTACGTACGTGTCGGTCGCGCTTAAGAATGTCAATTAGTCACGCTTAGGGAATTCAATTAGTCACACTTAGGAATGTTCATTTCCGCCGTGCACGCAGATTCGTAGGACGTCTGGCTTCGCGCGCTCTACTGCACGCGCACGAGCGGGACTGTTTACGCATTTGGTTGGCAGGCGCGAGGCAAAATATGCGCATGCGCATTCCTAGTTTTAGCTGTTACTCGTGGTCTCTTGCCAGCTCGCGCAGAGTCTGACGCGGGCTAACTGCACTACTAGATAGCATGTGAGAGGCGATACATGCGCTGTCTTGCATCTTCTGGTGCCTCTGAGGTACGCAGATCGATCATGCCGTAGTGTATTTGCATATTGGCTTTGCACATTATTCCTCTGCCTTCACGCACGCTAGATGACGAAAATTCTTATAGTAACAGGAAATTATTAACAACTCTCTCCAAGGAAGATGCATTGGGCGTGAATTCGAATCCATTTTCCATGGTATGTGAAGTGGATAAATGATCGTACTCCTTGTACATCAGCATAGCAAGCCAGTGGGAGTAAAGAGGTGCTTTGGTCGGTGGCATCCTTGCATATGAGGATGGGGATTGACTCATATGTGGAAGACTCCATTGTTTATGCTTCTTACATGGTAGTCCTGAAACAAAAGTGAGAGACCAAATGTGAATTGACGAAGTAGGAAGTTCACAAAGTGAAACTAGTGCTCATTTTTCGCGCTCTAGCTTTGCAACGGAGCGTTTTCAGGGAAAACCGTTTGAAATTCCTGACCTTCATTGCCCGATCAGTAGGTGGTATCCTTTGTGAGACGGATGTTCTGGGTGAATTGTGGATAACAATGTTAATTATTGTGCACATCCGAAACTAGGAGCAAAAGTGCTCACTTCATTTGGTGGTTTATTTGCAAATTTATTTATAACTTCCCGAATAAACCGATTACATGTGGACGTCTGTTTATCTTGCACCGCTGCCCCGCTGGCTCCTGGGGATGCTGCTTCTGGGAGGGACGGTGATGTTACTAAAGTTTCCAGAAAAGTTAGGTGAAATAGCAGGCAAAAGTGAAGGAGCCCCATTAACATCCGCTTGATTGGCTTCCACATTGACAGAAGCCGTTACTTCTTGCTGTTGAGCTGTTGAAGTACGCTCGTAACACCGTAAAGCTTTTATGCTCTTCTGTCCAGATGTCTCTGCGATCGCTTTTTCCTGTAAGCCACTGTTGAACATGCGGGTGATTGAAGTCGCACGAAGAGAATGGTTCGTGTAATGTACCCCAATGTCAGATTTGCGTGACAAATCAGATAACATATTCTTGAGTGTATTCTTGCGATATATGCGTCCTTGCACTCGTTGGTTTTTGTACACGCTCTTTTTAATTATATTCCCCCTTTCTTCACGAACATGCGTCGTTTACAGTCCGTATACTTCAGTACTGGATGTTCTGGGAACGTTGTGCGTTTCGGTATTGAAAGCACTTCTTCTCCATTGGATTTCCCAACTCTCAATTCTTGTAGCACCTATGGATAACAGTGTTAATTGTTGTGCACATTCGGAACTGGGAGCAAAAGTGCTCACCACATTTGGTGGTTTCTTTCCGTGGTTTTTAATCAAACTTGTAATAAACTTGTCTATGCTGTACTTTAGGATGTTCTGGGCTCATCGTACGTTTCGGTATTGCCAGAACGGTGAGCAGGTGAGCAGAACTTTTTAGCTCGTCTGTCGTGGTCCACCAGGCAGCTGGCATGGCAGTAGGCTAGGCAGCTATCGATCGGGCTGGCCAACCATGCGGCGTGTGTGAGCATAGCAATCCTAGCCGATGTACCACCACAAAGAAGTAGCCAAAGCACCCTTGACCCAATATACCTTTACTCCCTCAGTTTCCTGCACCATCTATAGGGAGGGAATGAGGGGAGAAGGGACAAGGAACTTTTTAACTCTGACTCGTCACTAATTTACAACAGCTTACCATTGCTGCCTCCTTCAGTATGTGTACAAAGCATGGTCTGTAGTAGAGAACGTAATAAACGAGTTCGACGCCTTCTTTTTCTTCCTGACGGGCATGTCTTGTCAGTGGTAGATCCGTTTTCTGCCTCCAGATTTTCTTTCTATTTATTGAATAAGGAGTCTTGTCTTCGATACAGTGTATGCTTCGGTAAATCCTTTTTTCTTGTCACTTTCACTAATGAGGTTAGACCTCTTCAACAGAGACTCCAGCTGCAAGGAGATGAGTCAATAGCTCACTGCAAAATACAGCAGTAGTAAACAGCAGTAGTAAACAGTCACTTACTTCTTCGAGCAGCTCCTTTTTCATGCGCTCTCTTTCCTTCTTATTGTTCGTAAACTTGGAGCTGTTGGGGTATAAAAAAGTGTGCCCATTTTAAATTTTGGCCCTCGGTAAGAGGCACCGTGTGAAAATGTGTAAAAATTTGTAAATAATTTTGGATAAAAAGAAGCGTGTACAAGTACAAAGCCGCGCATGCGCACTTACACAATGTACGACGGCCGGTCGTATACGCATGCATCCCACAAACGCAGCATAGAAAAACTGAAGTGGTGGTTTTGTGAACGCGGATCATGGCGCTCAGTCCAGGCCAACCTGACACCGTCTTACTACGGAGGTCCATGTCCATCGCTACGGCTCCCGAACTGCAAGAATACATGTTGCAAGACGTGATCGCTGGAGAGCACGTAGGGGACGGCGCCTACGGCTACGTCACCAAACTGAACTACAACGGAATGTTGGTGGCTGGGAAGGCGCTTCACTACATTCTGCTGCACGCCCATGAAGGGAAAAGTTCGTACACGAATGTCGGCTGCTGAAGGATCTTCCCCATCCGCACATTGTGCAGTTCCTGGGCATCTGTTTCTTGGAGCTCTCGATGCCCGTGCTGGCACAGAGAAGAGTGCCACGAATGGTGCTGAGTTCTCTCACTGGCGGATGGCTGCAGCGTGTAAAAAATTTGACTTGATAGCGGATAAAAAGAAGTGCGTAATCCTGACATATGCACACTTGCACGACGTATGGTCGTAGATGAATAAAATCTGCGCCGTTGGTAGGTTGGTACTCACCTAATTTTCTTGTGGGAGGAGGGAAATTATGAGGGGAGAGGGGATGAGGGGGTTTCTTGAGGGGAGAAGAGAGGAAGGAGTTGTTCTTCACTTCCGGCTGGAGCCAGACGCCTACTGGAAATTGTAAATTTTCCCGTAGAGGGTCACATATGGAAGGTAATATTTCTCTGAGCTAGGTGCGTTGTGGCGGTAGTGTCAATAAAGAGTGAAAAAGTGGGGAAAATCAGATGCAAACTGCACTGTGCCTTTCAACGTAAGGCGATTCCGTATTATTATGTTAATTTTTTATCAATCCCTGTGTGACGTGCAAACGTATGCACAGCTAGAGCAATGCAACAGCCTGACTGGGATCTCAAAGTGTCGAACCTTGGAAGTTAGAGGGATTATGTATGCAATGCTTGCCCAAGAGTTATGACACTGTGCACAATTAATACTGTACTTCGAACAAACAGATGACAAAAACGTTAACAGGGCAATTTAGAAATATTACCTTCCATAGGTGACCCGCTACGGGAAAAGGGACCATTCGTTGTCGAATAACAATGCGGAGAAAATGGGCAAAATTTACGGCGAAGTTAGCATTTATGGAATCGGCAACGTGTCCAGAATGGGAAAGTATAATTGGCGAACGGGAACGAGCCAACCTAGTCGTTGATTCATCGTAAGTCGTACGTCGTGTAAGTGCGCATGCACGGCTTTGTACGCGCTTCTTTTTATCCGAAGCTATTTCTAAATTTTTACGCATCACACACACGGTGCCTCGCCGATCGACGATCTAGCCAGCTAGAGAACTTCAACGGCATGCGCTGCAACTTTCGGTGACTGACCAAGGCTGTAATCTGCATGGTTCCAAGGTGCAACTTACAAATACGCCTATATAGGATTGCTCGTGCACGTACTGCTGCATGCCAGCTGCCTGGTGGACCACGACTGACGACTTCAAAGCATAAGGTAAGTACCGTCTGCTCACCTGCTCACCGTTCTGACGGCACGTTCTACAGCCCGAACATCGCGGTCGCTCCCGCTCGCCAAGAATGTTCAACATTTCCACTAGTAAAAACCACTAAAATTATGGATAGTCATAGCAGCAACCATATCCTGACATTGCCTTGTTATCGTGTGCATTATATATATATATATATATATATATGTTGTGCCATTAGTGTAGCAGACCTCATTTTTCCATACAGTGTGTCAGACCAACTACCTTTACCCCTATGAGCCCCATACAAATGGGCAGTTTGTACTCACATGATAATTTCAGCTTCTAAGTGTTTGTGTATAATGAGCAGAGTTGTGTGTTTTTTAACACTCGGTGCGCATGCGCAGCGAGGGTTATAGTACTTTTACAGGGTAAGCAAGGTGTGTAGGGTGATGTGCACTAGTTCAGGATGGTTTAAGTCCTCAATACTAATGTTACTGCTTCCTTTGAACAGAACTCACCCTCCAGCTGGAGAGGAAGGAGAGAGGGAGTGGGAGGAGTACAAAAGGAAAATAAAGTGAGAATGTATTAAGTAATTGGGGGATAAATTTTCTGTTAATTGGTGAGTGAGAGTGAGGCTGGGCGCCGATGGCACGTTCTGCAGCCCGAACATCGCGGGCAAATCCCAAGTTTGGTTGCTCCCGCTCGCCAACAATGTTCAACATTCTACTAGTAATTATTATACTGTGACCTCTCTCTCAGGAAAGTAGAAGAAGACATCAAGAGGTTGAAACACCAACTCATCTTCTGCCGGAGCTTCTGCCCTTCCGCGGTTTTGCATAAAGATGGAGAACTTACCCTGGATATCTTCACTGCAAAAAGAGCGATAATGAAGCGCATCACTCCACGGGAAGGCTAGAGACAGCAAAACCGCGCGAACAAAAGTGCAGACTCGGCAATTTTCCTCGTTCTACACGCCCCCCTTTTTACGCAAGGGTTTAGCGGATGCCAGCTCGAAGGGAATAATAGGGGCAGCGAGGAGGAATAATAGGAAAGATTTACGAGAATTGCAGAATAGAATGATGGGTAAAAAAATTAGCATAATGGGCTCAACCCTACTCCCCTCCCTCTCCTCATCTCCGCCCCAGATCTCCCTGTCCCTCCCCTCCCTCTCCCTCTCTCCCTCCCAGCGGGGCATCTATAGACGAACAGACGTTAGGTTCCCGGTCTTCTCTCTCATGCTACTGGTACACATTGTCTCACCTACAGGTCAATCTGCAATGAGTTCATTATAGAGGTTATAAAAAAATTTTAAAACCAACCACCAAATGAGGTGAGCACTTCTGCTCCTAGTTTCGAATGTGCACGATAATTAACATTGTTATCCATAGGTCCTACAGGAATTGGATGTAGGCAAATTCAAGGGAGAAGATGTGTTGAGTGTGTGCAAATAAACACTCAACCCTGAGCATCGAATAATAAAATATAGCCTAGGTTGCCCAAGACAATGCTATTTCGTTAAGAAGGGGGATCCATAAAGCTCAAAAAACTCAATGTCATTACACAGATCTCATTGAGAGGATTCTAAATATAGTTTGTCACGATTATGTCAGAGTTTAGTTTTTTAGAATTGTCGTAGACCGGAAAATCATAATTTCAGCAAACGCTGTGTGAAGTTGCCACAAACTTTATCGGAAAGGAAAGTGAGAAAAATCAGTGACACAACATACACAAGTGTAATACTGTCGTCAAATCTTTTCCGTGCCAGTCTGCGTAGATATTTTGCCCTGGCACTTTCCTTGGATTTGCTTTTTTGATATCTTTACTGTTTAGAAAGTAGGTACAACAGACCACTGACACTCAGATCAAGGCGTTCTGTGATTCTCCAAAGCGATGATGCACCATCAGTTTTCAAAGTTGAAAGATTTTCCCCAGCCATTTTGCTAGCTAAAGCCATCTTTTGATTGAGTGAAAACACTTTAGAAGAACCAACAGTAGAAAAAGGGACAGGAGTTACAGCAGAACAGGTGTTGCACTCAAAGAAAAGGCATTGTTGGTGCCTTGTTGTCGGCTAAAGTTGTCATTGAACATTACTGACCCAGTACCACACTTTCTGCAACATACAGATTTGTCTAGCACCGCCTTCAGCCCTTCAACTTCTAATATTCTCGCCCCTTGACCATCATAGTTCTCATAGCTACTCTGTGTTGGGCCTAGATCATCAAGTAGACAGCACGCCTGTGCGTGAGGAGACTTACAGAGTTTCTTCTCGATGGCCGTCGGAGTACGCGTAGTCGCGGTGGCTGTGGACGAGCTCGGGCGTGGCGCAAAGCTTTCCTGTTGTCGAGGAGACCTGACTGGAGGCTTTCTCCGCCTCGTGCGGTGCTTGTTTCCCGGCATGTTCCATCAAGCCATCCTGTCTTCGAAATGCTGAGACAATTACGTCACGTGTTACCATAGTATCCGGCGCAATCCGCGTAGCTGATTGGTCAAACCGCACAATTGTCGGGTAGATCAAAGGTTTAGGCAGCTCTAGGTATGACCTCACTGTTTATTTTTAACCCGTAGCTCTCTAAGAGTTCCCCGCTAGTGCTTTACCATGGCAAAGTGCAGTTTCCACTCTATTTTTAAACGGAAAAAAATCAATTTTTTGCGTGATTTTTAAGGGAGCTACGGAGCGGGCAAAAGTCGGCTACATAATTTCTCGGCCAGTTCGCGGGGAAGTGAAGGTAGAGGGACTCTTTTACTAACTATAACTATTTCACCATGCAAGATATGTCTCTGTTAGCTAGGATCTATGATGCATAGCTATTTCAGGATCAAACTATTTTATTCATTTTCAGATCAAACAGCATACAAGCGTACGTCATCACCAAAAATGAGTGATTTGGCAAATCGTGTGGCAGCCATCATTCCAGGAAAATGGATGGAAGTTGCTATTCAGCTGGAGATTAGAATGGGAGCAATTGATGCAGTTCGTGGAGAGAATCGCAAGTGTTTTCAACAGTTCATGGCTATTCTGGACATAATGGGAGCGATCTTCAAGTCCTCCATTCACCTGGAACACCTTAGTCAGTGTCTTGAAATCTCCATCAGTCAATGAGAATGCACTAGCAAGAGAACTGGAGCGTGAGCTCTGCTGTGGGGATGTGACCTCCCATTACGTACCAACATCCAGTTCGAAATAACAGTGCGTGTTCAACTAATTCTAAGTATCTTCTGTATTAATTTTATCTTGAGTAACTGGTTGTAACTTACAGACTTACAGATATCAAGTGATATAAAACATCGTAGAAACTAAACGATGCAATTTGTTTGCAGGGCAGCTAAGGCGATGGTCTTACGGCTGTGCATGGGTCTACAGACGCATTGATGCATTAGGCACATAGCTTTGCTCTTTCTGTTCCCTACACCTAATTAATTCCTAGGCAAGTCTGAGTATCTCAGGCCATTAGCCAGAATAGCAACATGCCTCACGTTCAACAGCGGGAATAGCTATTATGCTGGGACTTCAAATGATGTGATATCTTTAATCTGGTTCTGTGTCCCACACGGGGTATTGAGGGGATTGATTTTACTTTGCATCATGTTACTGATCAGTCACTTACGAAATGTAAAGTTACGGCCAATTGGGCCTTATAT